AAACAGAAAAACTTATGATGCAATTACGAGAAATTACTCTCTCTTTATTATGAAAAAACATATAATTTTTAAAGGGGTCATATGATGCTTTTTTAAAGATCATTATTTGGTGTAACAGAATATGTTGACATGCTTTAATGTTCCAAAAACACATTATTTTTCAAATACTGTACATTATTGTAGGTCCTCTATGCCCCGCCTCTCTCAAATGATTTCTACAAAGCCCCTCCTTCCGACAAGCGCAGTCTGCTCTGATTGGCCAGCTGACCCACTGCATTGTGATTGGCCGAACACCGCAAGCACTCGTTGGAAATGTAACGCCCCTTACCATAATCGCCAGCTTCATCTTTCAAAATAAATGTAAAGACAGTAAATAATGTCATTAGTTTTACCATCAGTTCAAGCCTGAAAGGGGAACAGAGTCGCGTGACAGACACCGTGATGAAGCTGGTATGTGTTTGCAGTACACAAGCCACGGTTAAGACAGCTAACTCCACTGTGATCTCTCTCTCTCTCTCTCTCTCACGCACACACACACACACACACACGGCGCATTATGCTAATATTTCCACATAGTGAGGTAGATATGTGGGGGCGTGTTAGAACGAGCCGTTTTAGGGGGGCGTGGCAGAGTCTTAACTTTGATAAAGAATATCTCTTTGGTTTTGAGACTTTAGTCTTTGCAACTTCAGAGATCTTATCTATGCACAATCAGCTTGTAACACTCCAAAGAGAAAGAACAACTTGAAATCGCATCATATGACCCCTTTAACGACGTACGCCTAACATCTCATTATTACAAGAAAATTATGTTTTAAGGAGAAAATATTACATTAATGATACATTATCTCGCGATTACACGTGAGACATATCTTGTTACTATGAGAACATATATTGCTAAAATTACAAAAAAAAAGTATTACAATAAAATTAGTTTTAACGAGAAAATACTTCATTTATTTTATATTGTTTTTAACAACATGACCTCTCGTTATTATGAGAAAATGTCATTTAAACAAAAACAACACATTATCTCATTATTACGAACAAAACATCATTTTTATTAACATAGCATTTTTCTTATTACGGGAAAATGCCATTTTAATGAGAAAATATATAGTTTTAACGACAAATTACCTCGCTATTATGAAAAATGTATATTGTTTTTAACAACATGGCTTGTTATTTCGAGAAAATGTCATTCTAACAAAAACATTATCTTATTATTACAAAAAGCATAGTTTTTAACATCTCGTTATTACAAGAAAATTTAATTTTAACGAGAAAATAGTTTTAACGACACACTACCTGGCTATTATGAAAAATGTATATAGTTTTTAACAAAATAAAAAAAATCTCGCTATTATGAGAAAATGTTATTTAAATTGGTAAACAGTTATTAAAATGCTAAAAAAAAAGCATTTTAGTGACATATCATTATTACGAGAAAATATAGCCTATTGTTTGCATGACATAACATCTACTTAAGACATAATTGGGGAAAAAATAATATAGTAACGGGTTATCCAACAAGAAAATCTGTGGGGCTGTGCATCAGTTGCTGATTGGATGTTGAGATGTGGGCGTGGCGCTGAAGTGTATGCAGGGGCGGAGCTTAAGAGCACTAAATGATTGGAGGAGTCCTGCATACATCACCAGACACAGGAAGATCCAGTTATTAGTCTACATTTTGATTAAACGCTACAAAGTACAAACAATTAAAAAAATTTAATACTGAATTATAACGTGCATTTCAGTGCCAGCCTATAGGTCCATCAGGACGAGCAACCAGTGTAGGCCAGGTGTGACGCTTCACTGCAGAGCAACTGTGCAAGAAGCCACTGAAGGATGTGAGCGCTCGCTATTAAGATGCCATACGCAGTGCGGTCAAAGAGCAGCGCTGATAACAACTGCGTTCCCAGCGTTCTGCTCGCTCCCTGTTACTAAATAACCAATGCAAACTCATGTTACTGTGCTGAAAGTCCTCCGCGCGCAGCCGAGCTCGACCTCGAACTCGCTTCTGAACTTTTCCCACTGATGGCTCCATAAACGCCTCCGCGAGTCGCGTGCATCGCGCAAATGAAGTCACAAGCGAGCAACGCAACGCGTCGATCGCAGCAACAGATGATGTGACGCATCCCACCTTCCGCGTTATCATTCTAGACTAGAAAGAAAAGGCAGGATTACCTTAATAATGACCTGCGAGGGGGACTCGGACATGTCTCGCTGAAATTCAGGAAGTTCTTCTGTTTCCACTTTCCTCTCCCTTGTTCTTCCGCGAAATAAAGCGCCTGGATAATAATGTTCCCCTCGCGACGCGCAGGCGATTCTAACGCGCTCGCGCATCCATTGGCCTCGCCCCGCGCGGAATACTTCAACTTCACCGTGTTCTTGTTTGTAAACGCGCGAGCAGGCGCTACATTGCGGCAGCGCGATGGTTAACACCTTCCTGGAAGCGCCGCTCGCAGGGACGCGACGCAACGCGCAGCGCGGAACCTCATTGATCGGGACGCTTCGTGGCGAAGTGACGCGGCGCTTAAAGGGAAACGCGACGCAGGAAATCAGCGCGGTGGGCGTTTATGGAACGCCAAAAGGGCCAAAAACACGTGAATTTCGACTCCTACAGATCATCATCCCATGAGCTCTCAGGATCCTCACGTTGTGTTCAGACATCAGCTGGTGTCCGTAGCTGCAGCCCTGCCTTCAGAAACACACACAGACTCACTAGTCACACTTAAAACAGTCTGTGTCCAGTCTTTAACATTCCATTCCATCACGCTTATCATTCACATATGCAAGAAAATATGCTTTTGTGGCCAAACTTATATTTTGAATATATGCTAAATGCATGCTGCATTCGGTGAAGCTCAATTAAATATATTTGTTTAAATAGAAAATACATTTTTCATACACAAATACACTTCGAATCTTACGGTAACCTGCCTGCTAGAGAAATTTATGTACATGTAAATTTATGTACTTGTAATTTTTTCGAACATTTTAAAGCATGTTCCCTATTTAATTGATTCAAAATGTACTGCATGTCTAGTGTTAGAGACAGCAAATCGAGTTTTTCTTCAAAAATGTGAATCTATTAATTTCTTGGATTGAAATGCATAGGGCAAGATATGAGTTTGAATGCTTTTTTAAAAATATTTTGATATTTTAAAATATACAAAAATTGCCAAAACAATATGCTGGTAGAAAATATATTTACATTCATATATTTTGAAAAATAATTTACCAAATATATATTTGGCCATTTTTTATATTTTGAAATATAGTTAAAATTCACGTGTTTTTGGCCCTTTTGGCCTTCCATACGCGTTTGCGTGCGTCAGGCGCGGAAGGATCAACGCGCCGCGTCGTAAGCTTTCACAATATTCAAAATATCGCATCGCTTCGAATCTTACGGTAACCTGCCTGCTAGAGATCAAAATCTCTATGTAAATTTATGTACTTGTAATTTTTTGGAACATTTTAAAGCATGTTCCCTATTTAATTGATTCAAAATGTACTGCATGTCTAGTGTTAGAGACAGCAAATCGAGTTTTTCTTCAAAAATGTGAATCTATTAATTTCTTGGATTGAAATGCATAGGGCAAGATATGAGTTTGAATGCTTTTTTAAAAATATTTTGATATTTTAAAATATACAAAAATTGCCAAAACAATATGCTGGTAGAAAATATATTTACATTCATATATTTTGAAAAATAATTTACCAAATATATATTTGGCCATTTTTTATATTTTGAAATATAGTTAAAATTCACGTGTTTTTGGCCCTTTTGGCCTTCCATACGCGTTTGCGTGCGTCAGGCGCGGAAGGATCAACGCGCCGCGTCGTAAGCTTTCACAATATTCAAAATATCGCATCGAATACAAGCGTTGAATAATCCAGCCATAATATAAACACGTACAGAAGCAATGACATGATCACGTGATCTTATTAACAGTACATTTGCGTCATCTTTACACTGTAATGTTTGACTTTTCCTCAAACGTTTGAACTTTATTTAGAACTTAACATAATAGTGTACATACAAGAGGCTAACATTTATATGTGTGTATGTATTCTTTTTTCTTTCCTTTCCGTATAAATGTACACATATACATAATTACAACAAATGTTGTACATATCAAACTGCTGCAAAGTTCGTGCTTTTACGTTATATATATTTTATAATATATATTTTAATTTGTTCTTTTTTTCCCATTCCAGTTAACTTGACGATCAATCATAATGAAATCAAATGAAAATGCAAGATTTTTAAACATTTTAGCAATTTATTAGATTATAAACGACTCGTTTTTAGATAAACGTGCGACACCTGCTGGACAATACTGGTATTACACACATTATTATTGCAGATCAGACCGGGGCTAGTTGTCACACATTTTTTATTTATTTATTTATCACACACCTTAAATTTAAGACTACAGACTACATTTCCACACTTGTTGCACGCAAAAAGTCCAATATACAGTAGGTCTGCTCACATAACACGTTTTTATTCAATGCCACAAGTACAAGACTATTTCAGTGTTTTTTTAGTTAGTTCCATTAGGTTTATAATGTATAAAAAGTCACTAATAAAATTAAAAATTGTGTTTCAGCCCATTTTTATACACATGGCATTTGCCTAGTAAAATAAATAATTGATAACATATTGTCCTTTACTTTTCAAAATATCATTCTGCAAAAAAACAAACAAACATGAAATACACAAATCTCTCAAATCATACATCTAATTTTTCGATTAATATAGATTTCTAGATTTTATAATAACACTATAATTAAATAATATAATAATTGAGTAGACACAGTAACAAAACGTGCAACTGAATAAATCCTGGATAATGTTTTGCTTTAATTTTGTCATCGATACAAAACGTTGCTCTCCGGGGCATGTTGTCACATTATATTCATACACTGAACTGCTGGACTTACAGTGACATCTAGTGGCGGAAATGCGGCATCACACAAAGTACGACGTTCACTTTAAGCTCCTCAGGATTCAGCAGAACCGATTCACTTCAACATGACGGAGGCGGCGATCGTGAAGAAGATCTGCGCTCATACCGGATCTATGAGTTACGATGCTTTAACGTCAATATTCGGTCTGCACGATGAAGCCGTGGCCTCGCTCGTCGGTAGCAGCGGGTCGGTCGCGGTGGCGTTCGTGAACGGACAGAAGACAGTGATCGCCAGAACCAAGGTCCGTCTGTGTCGAGTCCAGAGCTGCCCGGGCTGCGCGAACCTGCATCTGTGCAAGTGGCTCCTGCTCGGGTGCTGCCGCTTCCACAGAGGGAGGTGAGTGTTTACCGTCGAAGCAGAACAAATGGGTTCTTTTTAAACCATATTACTAAAGCAAGAAAGTGCCTAACAACGCCCCCTTTTATAAAACAGTTAGTAAGGTTTCACAAAATAAAGCAGAGCAAATAAAGTGTAAAGATATTAATAAACACAGTATTCTTCCACCAAACAATGTAGCGCCTCAGAAACAGTTGTGGTTGCTACAAAGTGGTTGCCGAGCAACACACAGAAGTAAACAAAGGTGTGTTACTGAATGCAGCCGCTGAATTGGGACACAGCTGTTGTAGAGTATTTTTACAACAGCTTCGAACGCGGCTCAGCCAATCAGAGCCAAGCACCGGAACTACACGTATTAACCCTCTACTGCACACATCATGTTATTATCTTTAAAGTTGGAAAATATTCTATTAATTAGTAGATAAATAAATAAATAAAACCAAAAAACCTATATGCTCAGACTATACATACACACACTCACACACACACACACTCACTCTCTCACACA